ATGCCTATGCACTGTGGCGTGTCATCAGGGGTGACAGCTAATAAACCTGGAAGCTGGCCCTTTGCTGACGTATAAGAGAAACATGGTGACAATGTTGGATCCACTGGGCTTGTAAGTATAGTTATACAACATATAACAAAGATAAGAGGCAAAGGGCACATTAACTGTATTTTTTTGGTGGGGGGAGAATGAAGTTCCACTTTAAAATATTACCTAGTGATTCTCACAACCTAATTGTTCTCCTGCGTTGTCACCCTGTTACATCAGTGCCTTGTAGAGACTAAAAATGGTGACAGTGCTGATTCACATTACACAGGCATGTTCCACTGTTACTATCAAGAAGCTGGTCAATTGTATGATGCACAATTATTTAGTAAGCAAATGTTATCCAGTCATTATTTACATCCATTTTATCTCCTATGTGATACAGTAAGGTTTTGCTTTAGGGTGGCTTCACACGTATTATGTACGTTTTTGCACCTTATGTGTGTTGCACATGCGTTTTGGGGGATTCATCCAATTCATTTCTAATGGGATCCCAACATATGTCGGCACATAATCTTCTCCATGCAGAGAGCAGTGACTGCCAGTCCCCATCTCCTGCAGGGATTCCACCTTCCCCTCTCTGTTCTTCCAGTGCTCATTGGAGAGACAACATATGTCAGCACAGTAAACAACACACATGACTATTCCAACGCATTGTAACACATAATGCAATTACTCATGTGCTGTGGTGCACTACATTACCACCATTCACATCTATGTAATGAGGCAAAAACGCATATTTTTCACAGGTGTGCTGCGGTGTAAATGCCTCCCTCTGTCACGTGAATTCCTCAGCCAATCCTGTGCTTAGCCCTGCTTTGTCCAGCCAATCAAACGCCTCCCTCGTTGCCACTGACTTCCCCGTGTATAATGTGAAAGATATGAGTGCAGGGGAGATGGGAGGTAATGTTTGTCCCAAACTAAGTAAGAACTCTTGGATTGACTCTGAAAATTGTGAAGCCATCATTTCAGCATGGCAACCAGCGTTTCCAGAAGAAGTCAGCAATGGCAGTCTTTGTACTTTCTCAGTGCATGTTCCTTTTAAAATGTTGTAGGTAATTTAGCCCACCATTGTTCACTGAAAACTGATTTTTTAAAGACGGAGTTGGCCTTCGAAGTGTTGGATCACAAATGTAGTTCTTTAAAGGAGAGGTATTAGAGTAAAATGTACTTTACTTGGAGTCGGCTCTGTAGTTCGTGAGCTGAGGGATAGTGTACACACTGATCACTCAGATCATAATCTTCTCCCTGCAGAGAGCAGTGACTGCCAGTCCCCATCTCCTGCAGGGATTCCTCCCTCCCCTCTCTGTTCTTCCAGTGCTCATTGGAGAGACAGACAGGGGAGAGGGCGGGCACAGCTGGCTCTGGCTATAGAGAGGCAAAGCCAGCTGTCAATCAGGCAGCGGGGTGGATCCCAAAAATATTGTCAGGATCTTTCCCAGCTTCAATGCAGCTCTGCACTGTAAGCAAATAGTGGCCAGTAGCCCATTAGATGCTGACTTTAGGTCACAGCAGTGTATTAGTACATATACTCCTTTGATCCAGAAGACTATAAAAAAAGGTTTGGCTTTAGTTCTCTGTTAATGTGATAATGTTAATATTGCTGTTCTTTATCTTTTATGGAAATAATGATGTTTTCTTGCTGAGGACCCTTTGCTTTGTATGTTTGGTGAGTGCTTTACGTGTCACTTGAAATGCAGCTCATTTATGTGAATTCGCTTGATGGGAAGAAGGAAGGAGCCGTTCATCTCCTGAGTGAACTTTTTGTGTCTGGCTGATCACGCCACTCTGAGAGCGATGAGATGAACTGTTACTGTCATGTATTATGAGATGCTGTCAGCTGTCTGGGTGGCCTGGAAATAAAACAGGCTGTCTGTTTAAATCAAGATTGTTTTATTCTTCATGCATGCAGCTTACTGCGCAATAACAGCAGCACACCAGGCTACTTTGGATTTGTGTATACATCATTCCACAACTGACGGACACAAAAGAAATGTCATCATTGGGCTCAAAATTAGTTCAGCCACTCTATACAATGTAAATTACCAGAGCTAGATTCTCTTTAAATATTAGTCGTTTTGTACATCATCTATCTTCCTACTCCATTTTTTCCCCCGTAAAACCATGAAATATACATTTACTGTAGTCTCATATACAGCTAACAGATGAAGCTTTGGGAACTTGTTCATATCCATATTATTATTATTTTTTTACCTTCTATGGTAAAATAACCAATTGTTTAGCTGGTGCTGAAAGACAGATATTACAATACTATATAAATACTATACAATACAATTGAAGGAGTCGGAGCAATGGCTCCCCTCCTTTCGTCATGTAACTCTGTGCTGTTTCTTTAGCTAACCCATGATGCTCTGGGAATCCTTTGTCAAGCATTAAATGTTTGTTTATAAAACAGATTGTATACATGCAGTAGAAAATAATCTAAAGCCTCCGTTTAAAAACATAGAAAGTTAAAAACATGTAAACAAATTTAGCCCAAGGCCCAAGCCATTAAAGTTTATCTTTAAAGCAGAACTCAGAGGAAAATGATTAACCCTTGCAGTGCGGCTAACCCTGCACTGCAAGTGTTAACTGCTCGTTTGGTCCAGGGAGCAAAATAACAAAAGTTATACTGGCCTGATCCTCGGCTTGCTGTTAGACTGTTCCTTCCAGTGTCTCTCCCCCTCCGCTGCAGCAGTCTTAAGGATCCTCGAATCATCATGTCCAATTCACATAGAGGGGAATTTATCAAAACTGGAGCAGAGAAAATCTGGAGCAGCTGTGTATGGCAACCAATCAGCATCCACCTTTCATTTCCAAAGCTTAAATGAACAAACTGAAGAGAGAAGCTGATTGGCAATTGCCCCAGATTTTGTCTGCTCCAGTTTTGATAAATTCCCCCCAGTGTATTGGACGTAAGGACGCTAAGGAACATACCATCACTGCAGCAAGGAGGAGACGGGCTGGAGGGAATGCTGTGGCAACCAGCCAGCTCCAAGCTTTGGGGGGAGTATAATCTTATTTTAGCTCCCTAAACAAAAACGAGCAGTTAACCTTTGCAGTACGGGGATAGCCCCACTGCAAGGGTTAATAAAAATGTTTTCCCCCTGGAGTTCTTCAACAGGCACCCTAAAAACATATGCTACTAAGAAATGAGTCTGGTAATTAAAACTTGCCAGGCATAATCCATGAAATGCGCAGACTTTATCTGACCCCGGAAATTGGACCCCGTCTTGTTTGATAACCAGATTTTCCTATTCACACTAGAAGAGAATTGAATTAGTACTTTCCTCTGTTTTGCTGATGTATTGTGCATGCTAACATTCCTGGAGACTGGTGAAAGCAGTACAGGGTGTTCATATCTTTGTGGCTGAAGTTTGAGGAGGTGGGGGAGCCGAGATCTGTCAGAAGATAAAACAAGATTCACTTTAGGCTGGAATGACGGATCTCCATCTGGTACCACCTGGGCTGCCTTTGTACTTGTACCTTTCTCTACCACTGCCGAGTACAAACGTGAAATAAATGTTAACTGCAGATGTCATTTTTTTTTTTTTTCCCATCTGATTTTCGTCTGTTTGGAAATGGAACATTTTGTTTTGCCTGACATTTACAATTGCAATTACTGGGTGGTAGGAGAGTTCAGTTAAAAGCGCAGAGTTTTCGTGTGGGGTATCTGGACCATTCAGCAGTATCCTAGAACATAAACAGCAGTTTTAATATAAAACGTGGCAGAATGGAGGAGGATTGTCAGTAAAGACCCTCTGGGATTTTTTTTAATGTTTGGTACAAACTACTTGAAAACTGGGGAGGCTTTCCCTTAAGTCTTCATTAGTCAGAGTGTTTGCTCAGGAAAAAAAATGTGTATTTCTCTCTGGAGCCAAGCATCCCACTCTTTTAACCTTATGAGAACCATAGCAGCAACAAGAAATTATCGTTATTGAAGATTTCAGTATTTGTGTAGCTAGGAAGAAAAGGGAAAAATATTAGTTAACATCATGTACATGAAAGTAAAACTGTTTGGCCTTTTTATTAGGTTTTATTTTAGACTTTGATGATACCATCAAAGCTTTTTACTCTGCACCATAAACCAACTAATCTGTCAGTTCAAAGACAATTGATAATGCTTTGCAGCAAAGCTGGCCATACACCCATAGATTTCTCTTATTCAGCCTGCTGGCTGAACAAGAGAAATCGAACAGATTCCTTCATCCACGCTAACCAGCATGGATGAAGGAATCTCCCTGCGGCTATTGAATTCAGACAGCCGTCACCTGCGACATTTGAAAACCTGAACAGTCACTGAATCTGATGGACAGAAGTCACTGTTTGGCTGACAGTTTTCCACCTGGCTCCTTCAATTTTTCAATCAAATTTTTTGGTGCAGATCAGGCCACCTATGACTTGAATTTTCAATTTAGTAGGAATCAGCCAAAATCTGAGCCATGTATGGCTAGCCAAAACTAAGATTACAGAACAAATGTCAGGTCCCCAGCTGCCTGCACGGAACTTATTTACCTTTTTTATGGAGCTTGATAGATTTGCAATGATAACGAAAACCTGTACTGAGAGAAATGTGGAGGCTGCCATTGCTGATTTCCTTCTGAAAATGATGCCGGGCAGTTGCTGGTCACTAACTTAGAACAAAAGTGCAGGTCAAGAAAGTCAGAGTGAAGTCAGAACTCTTTATCTACTAGTTCTGGGTCAGTAATCCATAAAGTACCAAAGACATTGGATCAAGATTTTGGCTAATGTTTTCAGAAAGAAGGTCAGCAATGTGCATGTGTCTCAGTACAGGTTTCTTATAAGTACTGCTTACCTATTCATGTCGTCAGCCATTTTAAGCTTAATAAAGCTTAGCAGAGCTTAACCGCAAAGAGTTGGCTATCAGAAATGTACATAAAGATGTATCTTTTTTAGAATTTCTGACATATTCTTTTTGTTTTTTTCTTTTTTAGATTTGAGCTTGATATCACTTGGTCCAACATCACCAGCAGATGCTTCTACCTGGGACTGTTATCATTCTGGTTCTGAAAAATGTGACTTTGGTGGGACACAGAGACCAACTGCTCATGAGCCAGACCCTACTTTCCATGGATATTCGCTACTTTCTTCTCCTCCAATTTTTATTAGCCTGCATGCTGATTGGAATACATCCGTGACTGACTGGGGCATTGCTTGGGAAGCCTTGGTATATGGGTCTGTTGGACTCTATGGGACAGTGGCACTGCTTGCTCTGCTCTCCATCTTTTGTCTTGTGTTTAGATGTCCATCAGGCGGCTTCTATTTTGCAGTGTTACACCTATTGTTGATATCCTTAGGCAGCAGCCGTGCCTTTGCTCTCTTTTATGATGCTTATGGCCACCAAGAACGCCTTCCGGTGTTCACTGCATTGCTTTTACATGACCTGGCTTTTCCCTGCATGACGTCAAGTTTTAGTGTTGTCTTCTTGTTGCTGTGTTCAAGATGTCGCCTCCAACACTCATCACCAGTTTTTCCACGGCTTTGTATTTTTGCTTCGGCAGCTTTTCTCCACTTTATCACTGCTGGGGGAGCAGTTGTAGTAGTTGATGTGTTTCAGCAATACCCATTTCTTCTTTTGGTGTCTCGAGGCGTCTATGTAGTCTTAACAGTAGTCCTGTCCTTATCTTTCTTCATCTTTTGTTGCGTTGCACGAACCCAAAACACCCAAATCTATGATCTCAAGAGCTCGGCCCCTCCTGCAGAGTATTCTAGTGGATGTCCTTTTGCAAATTTGAAAGACTGGAGCCGCGCAACGTATATTGTTCTTTTTTCTGCCTGCTTTGGTATTTTAAATGCTGGTCTTCAGCTGTATGCAATGCTTTATGCCTTGGGCTATGGTGGAGCTATTGTTTTTGGCCCTTGGCCTTGGTGGGCATTTCAGTTAAGCTCAAGTCTCTGTGAAGTGGGCATCTGTCTACCCCTTGCACTTATAGGTGGTTACCCAATTTTTTGTGCCAATGAGATAGGGAGGACAAATTGTTGGACACAGCTTTTCCATCTTTCCCCTGGCAATGTGGCAATGAAGGCACCTATGCTGCAAAACTCCAAATGGGCATCTTCTCAACATGAAAAATTGCTGATATGTGACACCATTGTTAGGAGCGAGTCTGAATTCTTTCCACTTTACACACTAGTGGAGAAACGCTTAAGTAATGGAGAAGACCTGAGCTTAATTTACCACAGCAACAAAAGCCTTGAGGTTCAAGGCTTAAGCTTCCAGGGTTCCAAAACTCCTTCATTTATCAGTGTGCAAGTAGACAGCGACTCTACTGTCGATTTTCGGCCTCCATCTCCAATAAATCTACGACGCAGCATTGATGAAGCACTCTTCAGTGAATCTTTGATACCCAAAAGTCTTTTCCATGGTACTACACTGTCTAGTAGCTTGTCCCTCACTGTCAAAAGTGCCACACCAATGGAAGACTGTGTATTTAAAGAGAAGGCCTCTGACAGAGGACTTTATCGAACTTCATCCTGTGTAGAAATAGAGACCGGTATGCCCATCATTCAGGTCGCGCCCACTGCTACCATGCATGACACTCCGACTTCATCTTCGCCAGGTGCATGGAGGGAAGAGCAGAGCACTGCCAGTTCTCTCTGTAAAATGTCAATGGATGGATCATCTTTAGTGCTTTGTTCCAGTCCAGAACCTGCTGTGTCCTCCACTTCCACCTATAAAGGAAAGCAAGAAACAGGCTGGCAATCCAAAGCAGAATATCATACGCTGACTCCCTCATCGCAGGAGTGGCTGGAAGTTGCAACTCAACCTGGAAGTACTTTGAGCGATCACTTAATAGATGTTTTTGGACCAATCGATGCTCTGAGCGTTTGCAGTGAAACAATTGATTTGTAAATTAAATTTTAAAAAGTTTTATTATTGTTCGAGATAAAAGCTACAAAAATGAGACTTTAAAGCACCCCGTGGGTGCTTGCTGGGACTCTCACATATGACGCACATATATTGGGCAGATGTGGCTACTATTGGACTAAAATACAGAGTATTATTGATGCTAGTGATTAAATATGAAAATGTATTTAGATTGAACCCTGCATATTTTATATATTCTATCATTAAAATCTACCATCTTTCCTTTGAAGTAGAAGACTTTTTTTTCCTTTCAGACAGGGTAGTTATCTGAAAGCAACCTGTCCCTATCAAGGTGTGAGGTCTAAAATTAGATAATAGCAAAGTGATATTGTTGCAGTCTGTGAATACATTTGGTGAATGTTTGACACGCGTTTTAGAAAACAAAACTGCCAGTATGAAATTTTGCAAATGTATTTCTTTTTTTCTTTCTTTTGCAGCAATCCCCCCCCCCATCCCTTCTCTTCTAATAAATATAGCAACAGCTTGCTGTTTTATAGCCAAGTGTACACAGGTGTTATGCAGAGCATCTGTTTATTTAGCTTCCAGTTTTCTTTGGCCTAGGGAGATTGGGAATTGGAGTGAAGCAGTTGCAGCATACTGCCCGGTGTCAGTTCCAGAATAAAGTTGCAAGCACAAGCCTTACTGATGTGTGCCTGCTACTGAAAACCTGTACCTATATACCCATAAAGTGTATCTAACTATACCCACATGAAATATACATTGCAGCTTACCTGTCCTTAGATGTAGTAGCTGCATTTGTTTTCTTTTTCTTTTTTTGTAGCATCCAGCACAAGTATCCTTTTAGCTATCTTCTGTAAACTGTAGTCTACTAGTCCTACGAATCCACTATATAATGGAGAAGAACAAAAGGTAACATGTTTGGAGTCCAGCAGTGTGACAACTATGGCTACACTATTGGATACAGTGGAGAATTAGTCATAGACCTGAAAGGAGAGAGGTTTTTTTGCAGAATTACCAGATAAAAATAAGGGGGGGGTCTGAAAAATGAAAACTAATGTAGCCACCACATCTGGTTCTGGTGAGCTGCAAAATATAGAGAGGGGCATTTGTCAAAACTGGAGCAGACAGAATATGGAGCAGCTGTGCATAGCAACCAATCGGCTTCTCTCTTCAGAATGTTCAAGAGAGAAGCTGATTGGTTGCCAAGCACAATTGTCCAGATTTTGTCTGCTCCAGGTATGATAAATTTCCCTCAATGTGTTTTGGTTTAGATATGCTTTAAATCTGGTAAACAACCCATGGAATGTGATCTACCTGTGTAGGATAATTAACGTTTAAAAAGAACTTCAGATTCAGCAAAAACTAAAGAAAACAACTTTTGCATGACCATGGTAAAACTGTGTAAATACAACGTATAATTATATGTTATCACATATGTTTACCTGCTGAGAACTGCCTACATGCTCAATATACAAGTGAGCCCCCCATGGCAGAGTAAAGCAAGTTACGTGAACACTGGTATCTCTAGATCAGGGGCGCCCACTATTTTTCGTCTGGAGATCTACTTTTCAAATGACGAGCTCATTGAGATCTACCAACGAAAAAACACCTGCATTCAGGGGTGGGAGGGGGCGTGGCGGTGCATTGAAGTCAATGGCACCGCAGCCAGGCTCCGCAGGTAGGCCCCTCGCCCAAAGTGTGATCGCCTGCATTAGTGCCTGTGTTCCAGTCCAGTGTGATCCGCAAAAATGCTGCAAGCACTATTTTTGCAGATCGCACTGGACCGGAATGCAGGCACTAATGTGCCTGCGTTCCGAGTGTGGGCGATCGCAATGTGGGCGAAGCCATTGACTTCAATACAGCTCCATACCCCCTCCCGCACCTGAACGCAGGGAGTCGGCCGGCTTACATTCCAGTGCGCCCTACATGTCCCGGCGTCCTGTCCTCCCGTGGTGCTCGTGTGGCCGACGTTGCACATGGGGTGTCCTGCACCTTTCCATCTGCAGCGTCTGACACATTCAGCCGGCAGCCGCACGAGCACCACGGGAGCATAGCCGTAGCCAGCTCCTTTTGCGCCTGAGGCAAGAAAAAAAACTTTTTTTTAAATTTATTTTTCACTATTTTTATATTTTATTTTCATTATTTTTTTAAAATTTTCGTAATTTTTTTTTTTTTTTT